GTCAGTGAAACACCCACCCACCACACACACACACACACACACACACACACACTCCCAGAGATGCAACAGGCCAAGTATGCGTGCCCGCAAGCAACTATGCAGTTGCCTTACTCTATCCGCCTGCCAGTGTCGCACGGAGCCTTCCCGACCCTGCCGACGGGCAGAGATGAATGCAAATGCGGCAGAAAGCTGAGTGGGATACGGCCCTCCACAGCCCCACACACCCGCCTTTTTTTTTTCGTTCTTCTTCCTCCTTCCCACATCCACGGAAAAGCAAAGAAAAAAACGGGAAGGATATATTTTGGCATCCGCAGGATGCAAAGGTGTGGTACACATCGACAGAAATGAAAGGGCGGGAGTTCGGCGCCAACTTCGTCTTCTTCTGTTGCGCCCATACGTGGTTAGGCGCATGGGGAGGGGGGGGGGGGCGTGTGTGCCGCCGTATTTCGCCATTACCGTCTCTTCTTCAATAGTCCCGCCGTTTTTTTCTTTTTTGCTTCCCTTGTGGATATTCTCCACAGCTCCTGTCCATAATATATTAGGTTCTATATGACGGTTGGCATACGCATGGGGAAAAAAACAACAACTCACACATACACGCAGATATTCGTACATGCAGTACTCACAGAGGCGGGAGAGAGAAAGAGAAGCAAGGCATCCATATGCGTGTGTGGAAGATGCATGAATGTGCGCTCATTTCGGGCCCTTGTTTGAAGTCATGCAGACACAACCTTTAGAAGAACACAGAAGCAAAAAAAAAAGGTGCTATATCCAGGAATTTCTCCACCCCCTCACTCAAGAGCTTTTTTCCCTCCTTTCCAGCGTCGTTCCTGCTTTTGCCTGCATCATTCTGCGCACACTTCACCCTACTCCTCCCCTCCTTTTTCATTAATTTATTACTCCCATTTGTTTACCTCTTGTTTTTTCCTCTCCGAGTTAAATAAATTCTTCCGTGGCATTCCGCGTTTGGTGCCCTTTGACCTTCGTTCCTTTAATAAAACACGCTCTTACCCCCGTCTTTGCATGAATCCATCCGGCGCATCTAACGCTTGTCGCCGCCCCCGCCCCTCGTCCATCGTTCGCATCGCTCTTCTTCTCGAGCGGGTATTCTCCGCACCCCCCTCCCTCCGCGCGCAATGAGGAGGAGGGGGCGACGCGATGTGCCAGTGGCACCCGCGGTGAGTGGGCGTTTGACCGAGCGGGGAAGGGGCGAAGGAAAGAGGACGAGACAAACCAAGCAAAGGGAAGAGGTGGTCATTCTACCTTGCCGTTTTCCGTCAGCATGCGGGCCTCCACGTTACTCTTCCCCATTCTAGTCGCGGGAGAAGCGGGAGCGGGCGCGCAAGAGGGCCTCGCGCCGGCGCGAGTCCCTGATACGGTCGTTGCGCTCCTCTGCCGCCATTCCGCGGCGCTGTGCGGCGGAGCTCTTCACAGAGCGATCACGGCGTCCGTCGCCGGCGTCCACTGCGTTGCGGCGCCTATAACGAGCACTGAGGCCACCACGATTTTCGGAGTTGAATCCAAGGCGACGGAGGCGTTCGCCGTTGCCACGAGGACGCAGATGGCGGCGTTGACGGCGCCCCGGCTCCTGGGCGCCCGTGCCACGGCCACCTCGCCCCGCCGTTCGGTTTCCGCGGCCGCTGCGGGACGTGCCGCGTCCGCCGCCGCGGGTATTCTGCTCCCCACCGCGCCCACCGCCACCACGACGGTTCTTACGCAGGCTCTCACCGATCTTCTGCTCCTTGATGATTTCACTGAGCGGCCTATCGATGATCTCCATTCTGTGTCTTGTTGAATAGTAGAAAAAAAATCCCAAGCCTTTCTTTCCTCCTTTTTCTTTTAAAAAAGTTTTCTGGCTAGTCGATTATTATACTTGGAGTGTTTCGGTTCACTTCGCGTTTATCGTAAAGACCCGAGTTATTATTATTATTATTATTATTATTTTTTGCGATTTCGCTGGGCGTCCAAGAGAAGTCGCACTCCACCACTGGAAGAGTTGAATATAATTATCGCTCTTGTCGGGTGGGCGTGTTTGCACCGTGTGTGTGGCACTTTGATGCAACGGCGCGTTGGCGCAGCAGAGTCGGTCAGGTTGGTGCGATTCCAAGCAAGACAGCACACAATCACCGCGCGTGGGAGGAGAGCACACGTGGCGAAAGGAGTCCGGATAGCAGGACAGCAACCACACAACCAGCGGCAAACGGGGCGGCAAGGTGAGAAAAAGAAAAGGCGAAGGAAGTCATTGAGTGAGCCTCGTATAGCCGGCATATAATTACATGTACATACGCACAAGCACAGATGAACGGATGGGCCCTAATGGTGTCGCAGCTGCAGCTGATTGCATGCCGTGGGGGGTCGACCACATATAGAGAGATGTTTTGTTTATGTCAACAAGAATGGAATGAATGACGTGCATTGCGTCCTCATATGTGGTTTTCTTTTTGTTTTTCGCTGGGAATCATTAGACGCTGCGCTGCGGCGGGTGCATGTACACGCCATAGTTGAGAAAAGTTATCGCCTCTCAATTCCTTCCTTGCAGAAGCCTGTAAAACGTCCACCTCTTACCTGCGGGAAAGGCGCTCACGCCGACAAAAAAAAGAATATGCACACGCATTTATATATATATATATAAATGTACGTGCATGCATGTATTTATTTATTTGCGTACTTTTCCCCAGCAACGCCCTGGATTTCATTCGAAATACGCACCTCGTCCCATCACAACGCATGCCTTATGCAGCGCCAGCATACACAGACAGACGTCACCGCATAGGTTGTGGGCAGACAGAACGGCAGAGGGAAGCTTGTCGACGTCACGGGGCTAACGCCCCACGCCCACTCCCTTCGCAAGTGAAGGAGTGAGAAATAAAGAAGGATTGCTTTTCCTATGCATGAAACTTCCTTTGACCCCGCCCTCCTTTTCTCCTTCCTCTCGTCTTCCTGCGGCTGATGTCTTCGCCCCCCCACAAGCTTCCCCGTCTTCCGGGCCACGGAAGAAAACTGAAAGCAGCACGGTAGATCAATTCCCACAGCCAACCCCTCCACAGCTGAGCGAGTGGGCCTTGCGGCCTCAGAGCAACGCGCACGACAGGCGCGCGCTAATCCAAACTCACGTCCAAACACTCGCTCCTCAACCACGCCGCGGCCCAAGGGAAGAGGCAGGGAAGCACAAGCCAATCCAAGGGGGACGCACGTGCGCTACCTCTTTCCTCTTCCCCCCACCCCGGCGTCTCGTACCCAGAGGCATGGAAGAGGCCAACTCTGTGTGATACCTCCGTCGGGGCCGTAAGAACCACCTTGTTCTCGCCCTATAAACCACATCAACAGCAATAGCATACACAAACAAAAAAATAATAATAACAATTTAAAACTCAACCACAGCATGCAGAAGGTTTGACACACGCTTGAACTGGGAGAGTGCTCACAGTCTTGGCGGCCCTTCTGTTTCTTTTGTTGTTGTTGTTGTGAGATGTTATACCTTCATGCGGTGCATTGTTAATATATAATGTACAAGCGCCGTTTTAAATCATTCCCTCGTTTAAGAGAGCATCACATCCTTATTCCGTGCCCAACGTTCCCTTTCAGAGGGAGAAACCGCAGGCTTCACAAACTGTACTGCCTGGTTTATTATGAAGCGTACACCGGGAACAAACCAGCAACTCTGCATGCCTCACTTGTGGGGAACACAAAGGGACCGGGCGCAGAGACTGCACCGTTGCATTTCCTCCATCTGCTCTTTCTGAGAGAGGACGCCACAAATTGTCCAGAACATTGCTATCACTACCACCAACACCATCGCCGCCGCCGCCAGCCCTGGCGACAGGACCCAGCGTCTCGTTTGGGACCGATGGCACTGGTGCCTTGACATTCGCTTGTGACGCCAGTGGTCTTTGTCTTTGGTTGCCTCCTGCCGCTACGGCTCCATCCTGCGTGGCACCAGGCGATAGCAGTAATGATCCTGCTGATGCTATTTCAGCGACTGCGCCGCCCCGCTCATTTTTCAGGGTATGAATTTCATAGGTGAGGTTTTTCAGCTCGGCGTGAAGTTTCCCCAGCTTGCCTTCGTACACCTTCTCCATGTCGTCCTTTTTAATCCGTTCAACGGCCACCATCGTCAGCATCTCCTCGTCTCGTCGTTCCTGATAGTCCAGCATCTGCTCAAAAAGGTGCTTAATATCACTGTTAGTTGCTGTACTGCTTGTAAGCATATTCTGGAACCTTTGCTGTAGTGCCTCCTTCTTGGAGGTTTCATCACTGAGCTCCTTTAATCGTTTTTTAAGACGCGAGACGCCAGGAGGCAATTCCTGCTGGCGACTCCTCAGAAGCTCCTTTTCAGCGCTCAGTAGTGTGACTTCTTCCTTCAGAACCATGTTCTGCGTCAGCTGCTCCCTCAGGGACCGCTCCCTGGCCTCCAGCGCCTGCCTCAGCTCCGCAGACTCCCGCCGCAGCGTTTCCTCCAACTGATCTCTCTGTTGCAGAAGCGCCTTTGAGGCACTTTCTTCCTGCGCCGCAAGTGCAGCCTTTGTTACACGCAGTTCCTCTTGCAGCTCCGCTCGCAGCTGCTCCACTGCCCGCAACCTTGTCTCCCTCGCCGCTGCTTCGTCACGCAGCTCCTGCAGTTCCTTCTCTGCCCCAATCTGCTTCTCAGTCTTGATCCGCGAGTATTCCCTGGCTTCACATTCAGTTTCACAGAGACGCGCGTTGAGGGCCTCGCACTTATTCTCCAAGGCTTGTGAGTGGGCCCGCAACTCCGCATTGGCGAGTTTGGCCTCTTCCAGCGCCCTCTCCGCCGAACACTTTGAAGTTTCAATAGTAGCTAAGTCTGACTTCATCTTCTCCATGGAAACACGCAATTTTATCGCTTCCTCTTTCAACATCTGGCAACGTTGTTCTGTTTCCTGCAGGGAACTTCGCGCCTCGTCTTCCGAGTGACTCAACTTGACCAACTCACTCTTAAGCGCCGAGTTCTGCTGCTCAAGCGTGGCGCACTGCTCCCTCATTTCGGAAAGAACGTTACGCTGCTCCGTCAGTTCCTGCATGACGGAATGGACCCCGTCAAAGCGGTCATACGCGGCCTCAAGCACCTCCAGCTGATGCGTCCTCTCCGCTAGTTTCGACTCGGAGAGCTTTAGTTGCTGCCGAAGGCTTTCATTCTCGTCACGCAGTCGATGCAGCTGGTCAAGCCCCTTCCCTTTTACGAGGGAGCGCAGTTGCTCAACCTCAAGGAGGAGGGCCTCATTCTGTAGGATGATTTCTTCCATGTACGTCGCAGCGCCTGCAGTACCGCTCGTAGTCAAACCAGAGAGATCTGCGGACATATTTCTCTGCCGCCGTGCTGTGTCGTCGTCTCTATGCTAAATGAGTAATGTTCACCACACAGCCCTTAAAATAATAAGATATAGCAGAAAAAGATAAAAGGGAAACTGAACTTGAAGCACCGCAGATTGCCGCGGCGGACAACCACAAGAGAGTATTCGGGGATATTTGCCTAGTGGGGAAGCAAGTAGGAAGGATACATGTTGCCGCAACGAAGGGGCGCGGCGAAGCACGATTCGTCGCCCCTACCCTACACACGGAATCGAATTTCCAGCGTGCCTCAGGCTTAAAATCCATTTTCTTTTTCTCCACAACGGCATCCAGCTTCTCCACTGGTACAGGAGAGGCCTCCCAAAAACAACAACAACAACCAGAAGAAAGCCATATTATTCGCATGTGCTTGAGTGCCACGTGGGAACAAATAAACTACGTGGAGTAACAACACTGCTGGGGCCCAGGCGTTGGGAGTCGTTCGACGAAGACAGAAGTAGTAAAAAAAAACTAACAAAATGAACAGCCCATTTTTTTGTCTTTGTTTTGACACCAAAAAAATTCAGTTTAATACCCTTTTGCTTTTCCCCCTCCGTCCTTTACTTGCTTATGAACGGTGTGGTGGGTGGACCACGGCATCCTCGAACGGTGGCCCATGGATGGGGGCGACATGAGGTCGTGGAGTTCAGCGCCGCAGCGTGCTCTCGACACCTCGGGATGCCTCGGGTGGGGAAAGCCATGAGTTCCGCTCACAAAGGCGAACTTGTGCTTGTTGTCGTTGCTGCTGTTGTTGTGACTGTTGTTGCGACTGCTGTGGGTACTCATTGGGCACACGCCTTGACTCATCGTTGCTACTTGCCGCGGCGGCCACGCGCGTTGGCTGCGGCTCGGCTGCTCCGCTCACAAAGTCTGAAATACGGTATCCGCGAAAGAGGTTCGGTGGCAGCGGTCCTGTGGTGGGTACAACAGTGGCGGGTCCGCGGCGGCACATGACAAACTTAACCGGCGGCGGATACCCGTCCCACCACCACTTCCCACGGCAGCACCAGACGTAGAGGACAGTACTCACGGACGCTACCATGACGGCGCCAAGCACGACAAATAGAATAATCATCCACCAGGGGCAGCAGCTGCACACCCCAATATCCCTACCCCAAGGATCCTCTTGCTTCGTACAGACGGAGGCAACGCTGCACTGGCAGTGGAATTGGCGAGGAGCATTCTCAGCACAGAAGTACTCATTACCTAAGAAAAATGTTACGTTCGGCAGGGCAAGGATATTCGGGTTGATGCCTCGCAGTTTCTCAATGGGGCGGCAGCGGTCCGACGCCGACACAACACTGCTAAAGAAGAGTGCCACAAGGGCAACGAGGAAGCTGTACAGGATCATTGTCGCTTCTTTTCCTTACTTTACTACGGAGTTGTAGGACACAAAAGCAATGAAAACAGTTGAACACACCTGATTTTTTCCTTCGTTCTTTTTACGTTGCGGTTTGCCTCTTCTTCGCTAATCAAGATACTTTCTCTGCCATAAAGTGCAAGGAAGGAAACAGATGGCGTGAAGATGAACCAAAAATAAACAGAGAGGCATATTTGTTGGCAAAACATGCCGCGGAGCCCACACTGACATCCCCTCTGCTCCGCCTGTAGAAGGAAAGCAGCAGTGTGACCTCGTTGGTTGGCTCGCTCCCGCTTTTTTTTTTGTATTTATCCTTCTTCCTTCCGCGTCCCTGTTCCCTGCACTCGGCACATCCACCGACACAGTCATTACCTCTTCCTCGCATGTAGCTCTGCGAGGTCACTCAAACTTCCGGAGGATGCGTGAGGCGCCTCACCACCCCATTCCCAGTTTATCTGCTCATCGCACCCCCTGAGTCTTACCCGAAGCAACGCGGCGCACGAGCTGGCGGAGGAGTCAGCGACCTCTAAGCGCCGTCCCGTGCCGTGCGAATGAAGGCGCCCATCATGAAACGCTGTGGGGTAAAGCAACAGCGTTGACTCCCACTTGTCAGTGGAGTCCAACGAGGCGCTGTCCCGTGACATCAGACGCGATTTCCAGCGTCCACACGAAGCTGTTGACTCACTGCTACGGCTCATGATGTACAGGACTACTTTTTCGCACCACACGCAGTGTGCAATGAGTGCCAAAAGGTGAAATGAGCGTCTCTGAGTCCAACCAACAGCCTGCGACAGCTGAGCGGCTTCACTTTCTGTGAGTCGGGAGAGATGCTCAGGAAGCGCAAACAACGCGGGAATCATTGTCGCAGTGAGAAAATGATCCAACTCCACAGGCTCGGGGGAGTCATATTTTCCTTTACCCCACTCGTTTAATTCCCAGACTAGTGGTGAGTAGAGGCCCGTCTTCTCTGCCGCATCCTTCCCAGGGTGGCATTGACACGAGCAGTGGAGGGTATCACCGTCGGTGCTTCTCGCAACGCTGAGACTCACCCTCGCAGGGTGTGCCAGCACCGTCACCTGTTCCGCGCATCGAGGGAGGACAAAGAAACTTGTGATCCCCGAAGGGCTCGGGTCATGCATATACAATGTGAAGGAGGCTGCGGGGCTTCGCTTTGGGAGACGCAAAATAAATAGTGCCTGCAGGAGAGTGCGCCGCAGCGCGTGAAAGTTCACGGTGTAAAGAATATTTCCAGATACCGCAGCGGATGCAGCTTCCTCGGGCGGTGCTGCGGGTGGTGGCTGTGAGAGCATGGGTCCACGCATTATTCTGCCGGAGTCACCCTGCGAGGGCGGAAGAGAGCCGCCGTGTTTCTTCTCGCCTGGGTCCAGTTGCGGTTGCGCCGCAGCGGTGTCGAAGCTCTCGCGGTACGCCCATCGTGCCAGTTCAATGCCGTTCAGCGGGAACGATGCCGCCCCGTCGACGGTCCTCGTGACTGGAAGGGGCGGAAAGAGCGGGTGTTCGCATTGCACCGTCACCGTCGGTGCCGTCTCACAGGAGTCACAAGAAAAACGGGCATATTGCGCGGCGCGTTCCGCAATTGTCTGCGGCGTGGGCCCACCGTACGGATGAGGCACCGGACCGACAAAGTGGAGTAAATCACAGTGGGCCGAGAGACAGACATAAGGGCTTGCGTCTTTGCTGATGTTGCCACGCGATGACATCGCGCGCCACCGCGCCCGTTGTATTCTGTTTGCGTCAAGACGTCAGAGAGAGAGAAAGTTTGGGTGCGACGAAAAAAAAACAACAACAACAAACCAACAACACATGAAGACACACACACACGCACAGCTAGGCAGGTACACACCTTGGGAAGATGCGGCCACAACAGTTATGCGCTCGCCCCCCCCTTCCCTCCTTCTCCCCTCTCTGGCACACGGAGGAAAAGAAGCAGCACAAGTGGGGAAGTGCCGAGGAGCGCACCCCTCATGCCCGTCCCCGCCAGCAACAACAAGAGCAAAGGAGATATGCTGATGAATACAAAAGGCAGCACCGCCACCATCCACTTCACCGCTATAGAAACACATTGCGCTCCGCACAAAAGCTCCCCATTCGCCCAGAGTAGTAGTAGCAAAAATAATGTAGGTGAAAGATAAGGTGAGCCCCTTATGTAAATGTCTGTGAGCAGCGCGAAGGAAAGAATAATAAAAGGTGAATTGAAGGCTTTTTTTTTTTGCTTTGAAATCTTCGCTGCCTCATGCCAATATGTGCAGGTATCATTCCCATGCATCACTATCGTCACTGGGGTCTGTGATGAGCGGCTCAAGCCGTGAGGGAGAGAGGATACGCCCGGTGTCGACAAGACGATTGACATACTGCTCCTTATCATTTGGTGGTGACTTTAACACATCTTTGCAGAGGCGTCGGAGAACCTCAAGTGCCTCATTGTTCTTCCCGTCGTCCGGTTTCTGGTACTTTCTCCAGACGCAGGTGTGCAGGGTGGAGCGAAGTGCGTGCAACGCGGCGAAGGAGCTGGCGTCGATGTGTATGCCTATCCATCCCCCGACAACACAGAGTTGCAGAAGCGGGTCAAACCGCATCTCCGCCTCACCGACGCCAAAGAGCAGCAGTGCCCACAGACTGACTGAGGAGACCTGCGTGAGAAACTCTTCCCTCGACTCCTTTACGCAAAAAATGCTTTGGTACATGTAAAACATGGAGGGGATGACAGGGGCATTGTCACCACGCCCTGCATCGGCAGCAAAGAACTCCTTTGAAGTTAGAACACCATTGACGCGGGGAGGTCCAAGGCGACGACAAGCACTATCTTTGGAAGGTGCGATGCTGCTGTGCGTGGCGGTGCGCATCACCAGTGTCTTCGCTCTCTTACCACCTTGCAGCAACGGGGTGGGGTCCAGCACGGCAACGTTAGGAAAGAGCGTTGCACTGAGGCAGGCCTTAGCGAGTGTGACGTCCGCGGCATCAAGCGACAGTGGACCGGAGTCAACGTGCAGCGGCGCCGCTGCACCATCGTTGGGCGCGATGAAGTCTTCGTCAAGGGCTTCAGGCGAGCTGGATTCCCCGTCTCGTATAAACCCCGAGCGACGCAGGATGTCACGGTACTGTTGCTTGTAACGGGAGACTATCCGCATGTTACCCGCGTGGAGATAGTTTTCGTTGGCGAAGGCGGCATCCCCTTGGCGACCACAGAAGGCGTTGTAGGCATTCAAGGCAGAGATGTGGTCGCTCTGTGAGCCCATCGAAAAGAGATGACGTCGCTGTCGCACCTCAAAGGAGAACTCGCGGCCAGCTACAAATGGACTGACATCCGCCGTTGCCGCCATCGTTAGGGCAGAATCCAGGCAACGCAGCACCGCGCCCATCATAATCATCTTGCCAATGCGCGGGTCACACGGCAGCCGCGAGAGGTACAACCCAAGCGGCGTTAACTTCTCAGCCGCTGTCACTGCCCCCAAACTTTGCAGTTGTCGCATTGAGGCCTCAACATTTTTCTTAGAGGGCGGCTCAATAAACGTTTGAAGCGTCTCTTTAGGGTTTGTGTGACCAAGTGACAAGAGCGTAAGCAGGACTTGCGTGAGTGGAACACGGTGAATTTCCGCCTCTTGAAAGGAAGGCAGCACATCCCAAACCTCTCGTGGAAAGAGACGATAACAAATTCCACCTTGCGTGCGCCCAGCACGGCCTTTGCGTTGCGTGCAGTTGGCGCGGCTTGCATACTGTAGAGCAAGTTGAGTGGAATACGAAGAGGCGTGATGCTCCTGATGCGGTTCACGCACACGCGACACCCACGAGGTTTGCTTGATCAGACCGGTGTCAATCACCACCGCCGCATCGTCAATGGTGATACCACTCTCAGCAATGTTTGTGGCGAGTACCACTTTCACACATCCTTCGGGCGCGGGCAAAAAACACTCCCTCTGCTTCCGTGCGTCTACGGAGGAGTGTAAGAGAATAATATGATATCGCTTCTCACCCGCTAGAGCCTCAAGAGCCTGCTTTGCCGCCACCAGCTCCTTCCAGCCTGGGAGGAACACAAGAACAGATTTACCCGCAACCTCTCCGTGAAGATCCACCACCACACTTCGTTCAATGAGACGTGCAAGGAGAGCATAGTCTGTCTTTAGCGGCGTTGTGAGTTGCCACTTTACCCCGCGACTCCCACCTCTGTTGCGGTGCGTGGTGCGACGCTGTGATGTGGTCGCGCTGCTGAGGGAGTCAAACATGCGGCTGTAGTACCCAGGAAGGGAGGAGCGCTGGAAAAGCTGGGCCACGTGGTCCAGGTAGCACTCCTTCACCGGGTACACCGCACCCTCGACGGAGATCACGGGGGCCTCGCCAAAGTAGGATGCAAACATGTCAGACTGCATCGTTGCGCTCATGAGCAGCACTTTCAAGTTCGGGTTCTTGCCGCTCATCAAAAGTTGCTTGACGAGTGCCAGGGCCACATCGCAGTTGATGTCCCGCTCATGGACCTCGTCAATGACAAGGTGACTGACCGCGTCCAGTGACGGCATACCGGAGAACATTTGAAGCAGCACTCCGGTGGTGCAGAGGGTGATGTGACGCCCCGGTCGGGCATCCAGCCGCACGGCATACCCAACATCTTTTCCCACCACGTCCAGGCGCTCACTTGCGATGCGATCTGCGATACTAAACGCACTCAGTCGACGGGGTTGAGTCACGACGATACAGCACCGGTCACCCCGTCCCTCCATAATCTCCCTATCAAGGATGTACTGCGGAACCTGGGTTGTTTTGCCACATCCAGTGGTCCCACAGACGACAGCCACACGGTGCCGGTCCATCGCGTCAAGTATATCCCGCTCCACGGACGCAATCGCCAGGCTTGAGCGACGGGGGTGAAACAGCTCAAGATATTTCGTGTTCGCCCTGACTTCACACAGGCGTTTGCGTAGCCGTCGCGCGTAGGCCTCATCGCGAGTGACGTTCTCCAGGGCCTTGATAGTCGATCGGGTCTCGTCCTCCAGAAAATTGTCCGATGAAATCATGTCAGGTGCGCCCTCCTGAACGCCGCCTCCCGCCGCAGCTTCATCATCGTGCAGGTGAAGTTCCGTATGACAGCGCTGCACAAAGGCGTGGATCTCATTCTTCAACCCATCCGGCAGTTTGACCGTCGGCACACACTGCGGCTGAAGGCTCGGGTACTGCGCAATGATGCTGTTAATGCCATGCAGCCGCTCATCATACAGCTCCATCTCTCCCAAGGTGTTTTCGATGGCCTGGCGCTCCGCCTCAAACCTGTTAATGCCTCGTCCTGTGCAGGTCACCCCGTCCAACTTCATGGTGCAAATGTAGAAACGTCCCTCCTTCGTGAAGGTAGGAGACGGAGCCACACCAAAGAGAAGTGTGAAGAAGTCTAGCATTTTTGAGTAACGTGGGGTAAGGCTGAGGGACACGGCGACAGCGGAGGCGCAGCTTCCACAGCCTGCATCAACAGATGCCTTCCCATCCACGATACAAGACTGTCGTTGCTCCTTCACAAGCCTGATAATATTAAGCGCATGCATTGCAACACGTTGCTTCGCCTCTTGTGCGCTCGCAGCTACACCAGTGGCGACCAACTTTGATGCGCTGTCCAATATGAGCGTGGCGACGAACACACGCTGAGACACGCGAATAACGTTCACATCCCTGCTGGCCCCAAAAAGTTCGTTGTTAAGCTTTTGAAGAGCCAGTCGATTGGTGTGCTGCTCCCGCTCTGTCATTACCGCAGCTCTGTCAACTAATGGGTTTCCAGAAAGGGGAATACGCAGCTGCTCGAACGCCGCATTTCGTCGCCTTTCTTCCTGCACTTCAACATAATGTTTGCTCTCATTCACGTACTCTTCCCATCGGGCATATTCTTCTGGCTGCGGGGTCGTTGTGGAAGAACGTCGTCGGACACACATCACATCCTTCAGATAATTACTACGAGCGCGTTCTTCGGTGCCCTCCTCCAGTGGCGGAGGCGCGGCACTGCTGCTGTTCACGTCGTCTAGCGAAAAGTGATCAATGAGCCTCGCTGCGTGCATGCAGCAAAGTGCCCTGGCTTTTTTTGCGCGGCAAGATTGTCCCATTGCCCGCACCGGTCTTCCTCGCACATGGAAGTCCAGCACGGCCCGCTTCAAGGTGGACCTGGGGACATTTACCACACAAACGCTGGGCGCGGAGAGCAGCTTTGTTGACAGTGACGGCGACGACTCCGCCCCCCGCAGCTGGGATCTCAAGAAGGACTCAACCTGCGACTCCGCCCGCATGTCCACCTGCAGCGGGGGTACGGTGTGAAATGTTATTCGCGACCTCCCCACATTGCCTTCCTCCTGTTGAGCTGCTGGACGACGGCCCCCAGCAAACCCACGATGTCGGGGTTGCGCACGAGGGGCCCAGAGAACACGACCGCGCCACACTTCGCGGGCCAAGGCCGTCACAGGAGCGGATGCGCGCACAAGGCGTCGCATTATTACGGGCGGATTGCTTTATTCGCACTTGCGTTTCCACCGGCGCCTCGTGCGCGATCCAAGGAAGAGAGACAACTCAGGTAAAGAAGCAAAGAAAAAAAAAACAAGATATCTAAGAAAGGAAAAAGACGCTGAGAATGCAGTTCGCGGGGTCACATACTTTTAAGCAAGCAATACACACCTACATGAATACACACAGAGAGAACATGGCAGCACGCGTGAGGACTGAACTTGTCGTTCATGGAGAGAAAAAATTGCACACCCACCCACTCACAGTTAGGCAGACAGCGAGAGGGGAGCGCCATTTTCTACTCGCGCAGCTTTGACTGCGTCGTCATCCTTTCCTCCCCCTGTTCGCTCCAGTGCGCTCGAATATCATTCAATGCCCCAACTCGACTCCCAATCAGTTTCAATGGCTTTTCCACGTAGACCCAATCAGGGTTAATCATATAACGGTAGTAAAGATAGAAGCACGTCAAAAGCGTCACGAGGAGCGTCAGAAGCAGCTTCACATTTCGCAGCCGCTCGACACTCATGGTGTGGTAGAGGGTGTTCCTTTGCGTGTAAAGACCAACAGAGACGGTGTCAAAGGTATGCACGTTACAGTTCTGTTCATAGTACATGCCACGGTCCTCCTGGTCTTTCAAAACACGGCGCTGATTTTGCTCCACCCGCAGCATAGAAAGCTCATGCTGCCGCTTCAGCTCAAATATCTCCTTATCACGCGACAATATCTCCTGAATGAGGCGCTCACGGTACGCCGCGCCGTCTGCTACTTCCGCAGACGAAGTGGAGCTACCTGCTGGGCCATTCTCAGTCGCACGGCCGCTGATGGCCCTCACTGGCCCCGCCGACCCCGCAGCGGCGGTGGCGAGCATCCGAGACATGTCTCTGGCAACCGCAGCAACGGAACATCTTTGAAACATTTGCAAACAAATATATATATGCCCCTGTACGTATAGCTGAGGGAGAAGGAAAGGGGAAAAACAACAACAACAACAACAAGAGCAATAACCACAGAAAAAATAAAATAAAATAAAATAAATTCAGCTGCCGGCCTCTAGAATCCTTGGATGCATTAGTTCCCCAAATGCCATTTGCTGCGTGTCCCCCCGCCCGCCCCCTTCCCCTCCTTCCCCTCCTAGTTACGATTTTCCCGCCACACTTATTTCCAGTATAGTCAATTACGCACGCACCCACAACTTTCACGTACGCATTACAAATGGGTTTAAAAAACGGCAAGCATAAATGTTTCTCTCAGGTGCGGCGCTGCCGAAGGGCGGTCACGGACAGGAGATCACGTACCACCCACCCATTTTTATTTTATTTCTTTTCATTGCACAGAAACGGAAGACGATGAAGTAAAAAACAACAACAACAACAACAACAACAGCAGGACATATGCCCTCTACTCAAGCACAAACACCACAATGGGCAAAAAAAAGCACGCGCTCGCTTTTCAGTATAATACATCTCTACCTTCCTAAATATTATCTACAAGGACGTTGTAAACCCTCCAGCCCTCAAAAAAAAACCAGGGGATAATGTGGGCACGAAGGCCAGTACAAAATAAAGTTTAACAGAAACCTTCCAATTACACACACCTGTACTCGGCCACGGTAGAGTGTTTTTCCAAACCAGAAAAGAAAAACAAAAACCGTAGGTTCTTTGCTTCGAATACGTATTTTCGAGGATAAAACGGATCCGGCAGGAGCCGCTCAGGTTCAACTTCGGCATCCGCGCACGAATGAGAAAATGCCTTTGTTGCAACCTCCTCAGAGGATGAAGAAGCTACAAGTGCATATGCATAACGGTAATGAATAATATAAAATAAGTTCCAATGACATACCACAGAGTTCATTCCCAGAGCGACGTCGAGCGGGGCTCAACTGAACCGCACAATTTTGCTTTTTACATCCGTGCAGAATAGCGGTATACGCGACACCTACAGCACATTGAGAAGCACGATGGCGACGAAGAGAATGCACCATCCAGTCACAAGGAGGGCAAAGCCGGCACCGTACTTTTGTGTGTCCTTAAAGGGCGTTAACATGCAGCCACCCACCCTCCGGTTGTACGCATCAGCCATGAGTGCCCAAACAATCAGAACCGTCACAATTCCAACGCCCGACAACAAACTCGCGACGATCCTGAGGCAGCCACAGCAGCAGCATGTCACCAGTCCAAGAATGGCGGCAACAAGCAGCAGGATAATGGAAATGATGGAAAACGACTCTGCGGCTTTGAAGTGCTTCAGGAGTGTAGGGCAACCTTCGTAGAGCTTACTTGGGCGAAGCTCATACTTTGTGCTGTAGCACTTCAATTTCCACCCCCACAAAGTCAAACACGGCTTGTTTGTGGTGATTTTCTCGCCCTTCAAGCGGAACTGGTCAAGCGGCGTCCCGACCAGCACGAA